TGTATGCAAACCAGCAATTTCTTTCTTAAAAGAAGATCCTTAGTGAATTAAGTGAACTGCGCTCTATGAAATTACATGTGGTCATGTAAAACATGTTCTTTAATAGGTAGCTACTCATTGTGTGCAAAGTTTAGCCAAATAAAAATCTAAGAATATTTATAGAAGTTAGACCATCAGAAATACTTAATAGTGCCATGTTGTTTGTAGCAAATTCTTGCAATTATCTGTTGCGTACTGAGGTTCATGTATACTTTTGATTACAATCTTAGGGGTTTTTGAAGTGCACAGCTCTTGTAAGTCCAATCTGTGTTTTTAACATTATCTGCAGAAGAGTTTTCTCTAGTGAACAGATTTTAAATTGATCTGATGCTTCTGGTTTATTTAGGAGAAAGCAACTGATCCTGATAGCAAATTAGCTTAATGAACTAAGTTACATAAAACAGAGTAATTATTTCATCTTTTAGTAATGATGCAGTAATATTTCGCACTAAGTAATGGCCCTTCAGCTAAGGATAGGGAATTTGAAGGATTATTTTAACTAAGAGGGGGAAAGGAAGAGGTGTGGTATATCTCAGAAGAAGAGAGCATTTGCCGCTCCCTTTAGAAAGCACTGATAGGACTTGAATTAGGAATTTGGATTTCTTTATATTATTGAACATACCAGATCCTGTTTCTCTTGATTTTGAAATACTCAAGAAAGAGATGTGTTGCTCCTACTTGGAGAACTTCAGGTGATCTTTCTAAAAAGTGTGTTTTTGTAAGCATGGTTTTCTGTTTTATTTCCAGTCTTCTGTTCATTTTGGGTTTGGCAAACACCTGGTTTTTTTCTTTGACAAATATTTTTGAGGTTCTTTAATACAGAATTTAATTTAAACCATCTATTTAGAGTCCCTTTTATAGTAACGGAGTTTAATTTAATGTTTCTGGATTTGCATGCTTCCATGTAATTTTTAATTCATTTCTGTGTAAATTAAACAGCTAACCCTGAGAGAGACATGCAGTCACCCCAGTGAAGTGATTATGAATTCTGCACTTACGTTGCTTCAAACCTGAGAGCTGGGCATAGTGGAGCTCATGGATGGGCGTTAGTACGCTTTGCTGGTGAGAAAATGGACCTGAAACAAGGTGGCTGTGTGAAACCTGATTCCCAAGAGTGACTGTTCAGCCAAAAGTTGAACTAAAACAAATTTTCAGAGACTTTCTTAGGCCTGGCATAAGTTTAGGGCTTAGTCAGGCTTTAGTATCATATTTTTAGAAGTACCAATGGATGGGGCAGTTGAGTTTACAAGGTTTTTTTGTAATAGGCTCCCTAAGAAAACAAGTTGGAAGGGGTTTTGCTTGTTGCTTTTCCTGCTAGTAGCTGCTTTTCCGTTAAGTCATCAAACTGTCATGTTCATGAACATCTAGTGCTGCATTTTCTGAGTCACTCTACATGCGAGGGACTGCTAAGGTATGGTTTCAGTGAGAAAAGTACAACCGCAGATGATCCTGATGACTGTCTGACTGAGTTGATCATGATCAGTTGTTACCTTTGTCACCTTATTTCTTAGACTTAACCTGACAGCGCATTAACGGACTACCGAATATGGTGCCATCTCAGAAAGCAGTAGCTGAACTGGAGAAGAGAGAGATGAGTGCAGGCACTGTAAAGCAGCTCCGAATATGAGTATCAGCTGGGTAATCCTGAGCTCAGGGAGCTGTAAATGGGATCACTTCTGATCGTGCAGTGAGCAAAGTGTGCTATTCAGCAACTTGTAACAGTTCCTGTTATAAACCAGAGTTTGTCACTTGGTGGTCAGAGAGCGGGTGAGGAGGCCTGACCAGCTGCCCAGCCGGTGGCCCATGGACCATGGAGGCAAATACTATCATTACTGTACTGAGCATTCCTTTAAAAAAAAAAAAAAAAAAAAAGTAAGTTTTAACACACTGAGCAGAGGGAAGAGCTATAAGGATCATCCTTTTTTGTGAAGAGACTAAGATCCGACTTGTCCAGCGTGTGAAGGTAAAAGCTGTTAAGGGTGTCTCACTGCAATGTGTTCACAATGAGGTGTGAATATGAACTCTGAGCATGAAAAGATATCCGAGTCTTGTTGACACAAGATTAAATAGGAATAAATTGGCTATAAATAAATTCTGGCTTGAAATGAGAAGACGGCCCATACTGCCTGCATCAGCTGCATGCAGGACAGCCCTTCCAGGAGCAGTGGGAGAGGTGCTACTGATGAAGCTCCAGCTGAAATCTTGCTGCTTTTGTTCTCAGGAATAACTGTATTTAGTGCTGTGGTGTGTAAAACAGCCACAGGGAACGTGGTACAAGCAGGATGTGTCTTCTGTTATGCCTTTGCATGCCTTTCTCATGGAGGAGGAAGATGATTAGGAGAGAAACAGTGATAAAGTTTTATTGAGAAATGCTACTTATAATTAAAAAAAAAAATTATTGAGAGCTGCTGTTTATGCCTCCTTTCTGATAACGCCATGAGGATAGCCAATGTGTGTCATTGTTTCCTGGAAAATTATGGTACAGTTTGACTCTCTAATGGCTGCCTTGTTTCATTTTTCTGAAATGCCACGTTGCTGGTACGAAGAGAGCCATATACGTACAACCTGTGCTCACAATCTGGGAATTGGCATAGCGACGTTGTATTGCTAAGCAACAGTTGGCATCATGCTGTCTGCTAGAGCTGTTCCCTGTTCGTCCGATTTGCCTAAAAAATTCAGATCAAGGTTTAAGTGTGAAAAAGAACAGTAGATTGATATCTTATTTTGTGTAAAATTTGTAATTCGTTTTGTTAGTAATGCATTAAATAACAATTCAGAGAAACGCAGTCAGGATGTGCTTTGTTCATCCCTAGAATGGTGAATCCTAATGATCTTGGTGCCTTGCAGGAGGATGTCTATCGTGTGAAGTGAGGCCAGTTTCCTATACAGCCAGCAATGCCAGATGTCACCAAATATAGCATGAAATAGCTACATTAAGTACAAGTGTGCATCTTTATACTAGTGGATTGTAGGCTTAAAATAGGTCTTAATTATTTTCTTTAGTGTGTTCACGCTCTATGGGATTTAACCTCAAAAGATGAAGATTTGTGCACTGGAGAGCAATATTGATAGCCCTGGATTTTAAATGCCTTTTTTGGTTAAGGGAACACTTGCCTTGCTGCTTCTACAAAAGCTAATTGTATACTTGCTCAGAAAGCAAGCACTTAAAAAGTATAAATAAAAATCCCAGCGGGAGATACTACTAGTTAAGCAGCTCTGGGTGATTACCTGTTGTTTTAACTTTTGTTTCATTATTGACAATACTAAGTGAAATTTATTGCTAAGCTTGTTAGCTATTAGATATGCACTGTGCTAGATAGTGCACTGAAAATTCATCTCTTTTCTTTCTTGATTTGTAAGACCTGGATAATCTTGTTCTATATAAGTTGGTTTTTTGTGGTTTTTTTTTGTTTGGTTTGTTTTTTCGTTTGTGGTTTTTTTTTTTTTTTTACTTTCACTGCTCTTGTGAATCTCCATTTTAGTAACTACAGTGAATCATACAACATTCCCAATTTCCAGTTTTTATTAGCTACATTTCCAGCTACTCAGTGATGTAGGGTCATTCTTTTACAGTATATTTTGACCAAGTTCAAGAAGGAGGTATTTTGACACTTCCTTTCTTTAGACTTTTCCTCTGTCTAGCAGATCCCGTTGTAGCATTTGTATTAATTTTCATTCTCCATTTCTTTTTATTTGTTTCATCCTTTGCTTCCAAGCATATTTTATACACTACATTTGCTTCTTCCTTTGCTGTGATCCAGTAACCTTTGTATAAGTACGTATGCATAGACATTAATGTATCCTTCATTTAATGAGTACATATGACTGTACATATTAAACTCCCTTCATCTTTTAAAATTATTTCTGGTTATTCTTGCTGCCTTTTGTTAAATCTGATGTTTTTTTCTAATGTGTCTTTCTGGTACTTCAATTTGCAGAACAAATGTGTTGCGCCATGAGTGATTGTAAAAATGAGTGTAAAATAGCGAATGTTTTGCAAGAAACTGATTGATTGTGTGAATCTGTTCACAAGCTCCACTGATTTGATGTACGTACGTGCACAGACATGTTTTCTGATCGTAGGGATGAGCCAGAAGACTAAGCACTGTTATTCATACTATTTGCCAGTTGACTTTTCAGTGAAGTTCAAGGTCTTACTACCTGTAGGAGAGTCTAACTGCCCCAGCACCATATAGTTCAAAGACATCCTTAAGCTGTTGATTTTGGTATTGACTACTTGTTAGATAGTAAAGGTTGGAGCTAAAGGGAGCTTCAAGTGGGAAATTTTCAAGTTGCAAGTTTCTCAAGAATTTTTTTCCTGACAGAAATACATATCAACTGGGACTGTCAGCCTGGCAATATTCAGTAAGAATTTTACATGCACTATTGTCCAGATTTTTGCAGACTTCCTCCAGACTTTTCTTTCAGTATCATTCAGAAAACTTAGAGGGTTTTTTTTTTTTTTTATCACTTTTTAAAGGCTTTGCAGCTTTTGGAGGATGGTAAAGGGTTTTTTTCCCTGTAGAGGAAATTGTTTTGCTAGGACCTGAGCTGTGTTATGTATGCCCAAGTTCTGGTAACATGAGTTATGGTATTAAATGATGCTATCTGTAATTTTAAAAAGTCATTTTGGAGACATATGGAAAATGATAGAGGAGTTTGTTGGTAAAAAGATCAGCATAGAAGGACTTCTACAATAGGACATAAGCCTTGCTTGCTTACTGTATTATGCACAACTTAAGAAGAATATTTAATATGCACAATCTACTTCTGCGTGGTTGACTTCAGCGTTGGAAAGCACTGTAATCTGTGTATCTCCTGTTTTGGGATGACGGCTCCATTTCACCGTATGAAAAGTTTGAAGTGTAGAGTGTGAGACAGCAGAAGAATCAGAAGTCAAACCTTGTTCTGTGCCTTTGTGTTAATCTAACGATATATTAATACCTGTTTCCTACCTGTAGGAAATCTGTCCAGTCTAAGTCGTCTTGGCCTGAGGTACAATAGGCTGTCAGCAATTCCGAAGTCTTTAGCAAAATGCAGTGAACTTGATGAACTGAACCTGGAGAACAACAACATTTCTACTTTACCAGAGGTGAGGATTAGAGGGAGTGGATTTGGGAGGGAATGTTGTTGTTTTGCAGAGGGATTGGAACATGTGAAATTATTGTCTTGCATCATAACTCTGAGGAATACCCTGTGTTTTAATCTACACACGTGTAATGTGAAATATTGCAAATTCTGCAATTCTGAATTCTGAAATACTGCAATTCATATTAGGTGTGTCTAGTATAGAAGAACTGATGTCGTACAACTTCAGTCAAAAGTGGGAGCAATACATGTGATTGTATTTGCTGCCCTCAGTCTCTTTAGAAAACGTTAAATAAGGAGTCCAGGTTCCCACCATTCAAGCTAGATAGGAGCTTCTCAGTGTTTCTGTTTTATGGAGGTAGGGAAGAAGTAGAAAAATGAAAAATAGAATATTTCTTTCCCATCTAATTGAGGCAAGAAAGACCTTTAAGAGAATGGGTAAAGCTTGTCACAGCTACTTGGCCTCAGCATTCTCGTTTCAATGTGGAAGAGTGTGCTGTTGACACCAATGAGATATCGTCTGGCAACTCATTGACACGCCTTCCGTCAGTTATGAAAAACAAAAATTTGCATAATTTTTCAGTTTCCAGTGACACTCTGAGGATCATGGGAAAGAGAGGAAGAGAAATCCGTTTTCTTTTCATAGCTGCTGCACTTAATTGTCTTACCTTGGTCTCTCTTGCTTCAAGCTTAGAGTGGGACTAAGGAAAATGTCCATAGTTAGAAGTTCAGGAGCCACCTTGTCAGTCTCTTCAAGTAACACGTTCCCTGAACAGGGTGCTTTGCTAGCTTTGGGGTGGAGAGGCAGAAAGTCCTAATCCCCAGTGTATCTGTACGTTTTTCCATACTCCTTCCCTAGAGTTCTCTGAAAGGTGCCCTGTGGACTCCAGTTTCACAGTCCTGGATAGTTGCAGTAGTTGTAAAAAATACAGACATTTTTTTAAATACAACTTTGATGTCTGCAGACTTTGAAACTGTTTCAACTGTTGGTTATACCTTTCATCCTGATTTTCCTTTTCTGAATTTCTTGAGACTGATTTATCAGGGTAGCAGAGTGCGAGATGCTCGGCTGCATACTGCATACTTTTGGTCCTAGTAAACATTTAGAGAAAATGTTTGACTTGAAGCATTAGTGCCTGGGCAGAATTGCTCCGATGACAGAAAAAAATCTGATGTGATTGATTCTTATTTTGGATATTTCTTCCATTGCTTTAGAGCTGTTTGGAGATGAAGACTTCAGGACACAACACAGAGTTTTATTCTGTTCTGTTTTAACGATGGTCCAAACTACCTTCCTAAGCTGTTTTTAAGAAGAAAAAAAAAACAAACTAAAAAAAGTATAAATTATTAGTATCAAATAATTCAAAATATATCTAAAGAGGTATATAGGAAACTATACACAGAAAAAAAACCAAAATGCATTTGGAGTTACGCAAAGTATTCATAGTAACAAAGTGCAATAAGTAACTACCTTCTTCAGATAAATTTCTAAACTCAGCAATGATAGACTGAAAACAGAGAATTTAATAAATGTTTGGGTAAAACTATCGTTTAATAAAATGCTACTGACGGAAAGCCACCAGGCTGCTTTTAACATGAGAGGTAAGCTAGCCCACCCCACCCAGACATATTATAAAAGCAACTACGGTATAATTACAAAAAGCTGATGTGAGGGATGATTACTTGCTGTAAAATATGTTCAGTCATAATACAAAACTCTTTGTGACTGTGCTGCCTTCTTCACGTATACTTGCCAACAATATGTTAACGCTTAAGCTGCTACCTTGCAGAAGTGTATAGTTTATACTGTAATCTGTTTAAAGTAAAACATTCTGTGCTATAATACAAAGACTGTATTTGTAGAAGAAACTTCTGAATTTCAAAACATAGCTGAAGCTGCTGACACAATGCCTAATAAATATTTTATCTTAAAAGGATGGGCTGGGAGAAGGCAGCACTGCCACAGCTCTCATAGATATAAGAGCATTGTTCTCTTTGTACTGCCAAAGCTCTCTTGCTTCTCTTCAAATGTGTTTAATTACTCTAGGCTATTAGAGTGTATTAGCTAACATTTTTAATATTTTTTGTATGGAAGCAGACTTCAAAAATGGCTTTTTGAAATGCCAAGATCCATTTGAAGCAATAAAGTGTGTTTGTAACAGAGCTCAGGGACTGCCTAACCCTAGGACAAAGAATATCTGTTAATTAAAGTATAGCTAGAAGCAGTATTTCCTAATCAAAGATTATACTATTTAATGATTAGGTTAAATTAATACTGATTTGAAGATCCATTATTTTATCTTTAGGGGGAAAATTGCTTCACTGATATTTGCCAAGATGCCCCCAGAATTGTATTTCAGTGCTTAAAGTTTTAGCCATGACATGTAGACAAGTCCCTATTTAATCCTGGTTTATTTACAATAATGTTAATAAACTATTTAGAAAAGTAGCCAAAGCTTTCCTGGTGAAACAGCAAAGCCATGTTCTTAAAGCTTTTTCAGTGAATATAGCACTGAAATTGCAATCCAGAAATACTGACATTAGGAGTATGGTTGGAATCATTATCTTGTTACTGCTCTTTCCTGATTGCAGATGTTGCATTATTTATGGTATGTAATGCCATGCATAAATCTCCAATTTCTGTAATACTTAAGCAAATAGGGCTGAATTCAAGTTGGCATAGTGATAAGTAAAGGTGACACTTCAGCAGTAATTTGGATCTCATTATTCATCCCCACAGTTCCAGCAACGTGCTTGGCAGGTAACTAACAGATAAACTCTGAGATCTGTGCTGCTGACATTTTAGCATCTAATTAGATTGTGAAGTGAAATGAGGCTCTGGATTCAATGGGCAACCACTGCTACCCAGTTTAACTCCAGACTTCTTGCTTTTTATTTCTTACAGGGGAGAAAAAAAAAAGAGAAGTGGAGTAATAACTATTTAGGAATATTTTGAAAACAGGGAAAAAAAAAAGTAGAATTTCCAAAACCTTGCCTTCCCTTTCTTTCTCTCGGTCCTGCCTGGTTATCTGAAACTGTTACAGCCTAAAAGGAAACTTCTACCAGATGTGTTCACCTTATGGATTGTTATTACATTAACAAAGATTTGTACTGGAAGTATCAAACACCAGTTTGAAAAATGGTGCATGCAGTTGATACTTCTTTGGGCCGCACTCTCAGTTGTGAGGAGGCATCAGAATTGAGTGAGCTGCGGTTGGGTGGCATTGGCCGAAGCCGGGACCGCTGTTCAGGATGGACACGCTGCTGACTGCGCCTGCCAGCCACTGCCCCTGCGCTCTTCAGAGCTACCCAAGGCATGGCAATGTGTTATTAAAAAAATTCCTTTTGGAGGAGAAAAGAGTTACACAACCGCCTAAACTTGTGCTTTTAAATGTGATATGTTTGCTTTTTTGTGTCTGGCAATATGTGAGGAGAAAGGGGGAAATAAGGTAAAGGCTGACGACTGTGAGCAGAGATTGTTGCTGATGGAAGTTTTATCAAATTTAACACTGGTTTGTGTGTTGCAACACTTATTTAGGGGATGGACATGAGGGGGGAAAACATTTCTAATTAGACCCATGAGGGAAAAGAGATGTATTCAAATAAATCTGTCCTAAGTTCCTGGGTGGTTTTCTTGTCTCTACAGGGTCTTTTATCCAGCCTTGTCAAACTGACTAGTTTAACACTGGCCAGGAACTGCTTCCAGTCCTATCCCGTGGGTGGCCCGTCCCAGTTCTCCACAATCTACTCTCTCAATATGGAGCACAACCGCATCAATAAAATCCCCTTTGGAATTTTCTCTAGAGCTAAAGTATTAAGTAAGCTGAACATGAAGGTGAGGCATAGAAACATGCTACTGTGTATAAAATCAATGACGGGCACTGTTTGCTGTTCCGTGAATTCTGCCAAACTTAATGATATAAGGAATGATTTTATCATGCTGAAGTGGGCGCTGCTGCTGTCACATACAGAAACAATTCTGTATTGGTTTAAAAATGTACTATCAAGATGTTATTGATTTGTCTTTATTTTTGTTAGTTAAGCTTTTGTCACATTTGCTCAAGTTTGAACAATGAAAACAAAGTTGGTTGCAAAGTTCTCGAATATTCAAATGAGCATGTAGAGTAGCTTATTTCTTTTCCCCCCTCTACTCTTACAGTTTAGATTAAAAACAAAATTATGTAAAATATCTTTTTTTTTAATATATTCTTTCAAAACCTAAGTTTGGAGACTTTTGGCAGTAGTTGTAGAGCTCAGAAAAAGAACCTTTAAGTCTGTGCTATCTATGCTTAGAGTGAAGAGAATTAGGAAAAAGAGATGATGTTTTTCTATGAATGGGTTTGTTTCCAGTACTTAAATTATGTAAAAAAAAAAAAAAATAAAATTGAATAGTATCTAAGCTCAATACTGGTTTAGAATATCTTTTGGCACAAATGGATTCTCAATTTGCATTAAGACAATTTTTTATCACATACCTGTTTGTAACTTTGCATGTTTACCAGGACTTTGTATGACCTGGTTTTTTAGATTTCTTTTTTTTTTTTTTTTTTTTGGGTGTCTGGTCTAGATCAAATTTTGTAGCTATATTTTGAGCAGTGAGATGTTCAGGTTAATTTTGGATACTTGTACTCTGAGCCATTAAGGTATATTTCCTTTGTGGTGTGTTTGGCGTTTTTTTCTTTTTCCTTTTTTTTTTTTGTTGTTTTTTTGGGGGGTTGGTTTTTGGGGTTGGTTTTTTTGCTAACTCCATATATTTTTAGGATTCCAGCGTTGCTGATAGCACCTTTGTAAGTTATGGTGAATTTTCTGTTCTTTTTTTCCCCCCTCCATTGTATTCAGCAAAGAAAGGACAAAAAATGTTTTAACTACTGGGATGCATGAAATCTCGAGAATTATGTGCTTCTAATTTTTCCACTTCAGTTCATATTAGTAACACAGAACAGTTCCAACCTAGAGTAACAGAATTGACTTCTTATGTTTTGAGGAATTTAACAAATATTTGGCCAATTATCACATTTTATTCCTCTGATTTAATTATCTACTATTTTGTTAGAAGTATTTTGTAAGCAATTTGTTTAATCTCTCAGATGCCATGCTGACTTCTTGCAAGCGCAGACCCTAAATGTTTGATATGTTAAATCACAGGACAATCAGCTGACCTCTCTCCCCTTGGACTTCGGGACTTGGACTAGTATGGTAGAACTGAACTTAGCGACTAATCAGCTCACAAAAATCCCTGAGGATGTATCTGGGCTTGTTTCTCTTGAGGTGAGAAGAGTATAAATGAACAGCTAAGTGAATCCCTGTAAATAGGCGTTCTGTACTTCAGGTTTAAGTAATATTACTTTTGGGTCAAATAAAGGCAAATAAATATGTGTATGTGTGCTATTTAAATGGATGTGTTGCATCTGTTTATGGTTGTTTTCAACAGCTTTTTGAATGTTGTTCTTTAGGCTCTAGATGAGTGTCTGTGCACGAAGAGTTAAGTACATATATATTTTTAACTATGTAGAAGGAAAATTTTTCTCAACAGAAAGTTACTGTTGTAAATGAAATGGCACTGAACTCACTTCGATTCCTGGAGAGACCAGCATGGAAACAGCAGGGATCCGAAAAACGTAATGAAATGGTCTACAGCCAGAGGTGGCTTGAATGTAGCACTGTGAACCTTATAGGCAGCCGGGTGGGAATTCTCTGCCTTTGAAGGAGAACTCCTCGTAGGTTGAGACCATGAACTAAACCTGTTGTGTTTCCTAGTCCTGTTTCCCAAGGTATCATCAGGAGAGACAAACTTAATTGCCTTGGAGGGACATAAAGATAGAGGTGCTTGTTCGGGCAGTTGAGGGGACTTCGTAGCCTCTGTGAGTTGCTGGGAAAAATCTGTTGAAGTACAATAGCAAATGGCATATTTGAAATTGCAAATTTCCAGTGTGACTGCTGCTCTGAATAATTAATAATTCCATAGTTTGGGGCAAAAATTATATGGCAGAGTAATAGCTATTTAGTGGCCCAGTTCCCTTTAAGCTAAGTCTGTGATTGATGTGATTGGGAAGTTAGTAACCTCTAACAACTGGATTTGCCGGTGGTCTGCTGGCTGCCGAAGCTGGAGAGCTGCACAGTCCACAGACCCGTTAGTGCTATTTTTCTCTGTAATTAAAGAACCAAATACAAAGAACTATTTGGGCAGTGTTTACACAAAAGTGAAGGTTCCCACAGCAGTGCTAAGTCAGCTGCATTGCATGTAGGTAATATTTTCTGTTCCTGCCTTTGTTTCTTGATACGCGATTAAAACGTTACTATTCTTACCGTTCTGTGTATATTGTAGAGCATAAAGGAAGGCCACTGAAATACTGCTTGTGCTAATGCTAAGATGTTGGCTTTTATTCATTTTAATTTTCACTTTGATTTTTAGCCTTGTTTTCTATTCTGTTCCTGCACTGAAGGTGCTTCCACGTTACGTGAAGCTGGTGGGAGCTGGGATTGGTAGAAGTCAGGCATTTGCAACCTTGGGTGGCTTAGCAGGGAGCTGTGCATGGCTAGGATGAGGGTCCCCACTGGGTGCTCTTTCACATCCTTGTGTTTCAATGTGCCTTGTTAAATAACTAGATAATAGCACTGTTTAATCGATAATTAATTACCTTACTGCTTGCTGTGTTGTTCAGAGGCTTGATTACTTCTAAGGACTGTTAGACTTCTCCAGAGGTATACTAGTGTAACCCCTGTTAACTTGCTTGTGGTATAATGAATAACTCTGTTAAATGACGTTGCAAATAAGAATACTTTTCTTGAACCTAGGGTATTTATAATTCAACTTAGAAAGGAGGAGAAAAACAAGAGGATAATACTCTAGTAGGGGCGGGTGTGCAATAGGAGACCATTTTGAAAAGCCAGTGGATATCTATGCAGTGTTCTTAGGTGCTCTGATCTGTATGTGTACTTGCTGCTGCTCCTAACCAAGGGGACATAGGGAGTAGAGGGAGTATTAAGCTTTTTAAGGAGGACTTGGCAAGCACAGCAAATAATGTAAAACATGTTATGAGATAGCTATAAGGAAGAATAACAAAATGATAGGGAAGTCAGGAAAAAATTATTTTTCTTTGGTCATTTGAAGAAATAAGGTGGTTTTTGTGTTCTTTGTTTTTGTTCTGCATTTATTATTATGTAACATAATGTTTGAAACAATTCTGTCATAAATTTATGTATCATTAAAGACTTTAAAAGAATTATGTTAATCACTGATTTTATTTTTTTTTTTAATCTTTTCAGTTTGCTTCCATAATTTGAATATAGGCTAATCTTGGACTTCACTTGAAAATATAAAAAGATCCTGTCTTAATCATTATTTACTAATTGTGTTGCTGAAATTGTGTGTTTGGTTTTTTGTTTTTTTTTTTTGAGGTTCTTATCTTGTCAAACAATCTACTAAAGAAACTTCCCCATGGAATTGGAAATCTACGGAAACTCCGAGAGCTAGATCTAGAGGAAAACAAACTGGAATCCTTGCCAAATGAAATAGCTTACCTCAAGGATCTGCAGGTGAAACAATAATGGGCTGAGATAAACATCTTATGTCCTCTATTTACACCATGCTGATTTAATTACAGCTAGTTTGATGAGGCAAACTATTTGGGACTGGACGCAGAACCAAAAGTTAAGAATCTTGCACAACTTCATCCACAATCTGTCCCCACTAATTCTTCCCCAGATATATCAGTTAATATTGAACAAACAAATTTTGAAGAGTTTAACTGTTGTACCATGAGTGCAATACTGCCACAGAAATAGTCTCTGATTTCAGTCATGTTCATGAAAGCTTTTATATTTAGGCATGTATTTTACTATGCACTATTTTATTTTTGTGTTTAGTGGTGCTTAATAGAGGTCTGAAATGTTGTTGAAGGGTAGAAATTTTTCAAATACTGGAGAGTAGAACCCATCAGTTTATCAGCTATATATCTTGTTACTTGCTGTCATTGCAGCAGAAGTCATTAAGTTAATTTTTAAAAATGTGTTTTTCCCTTAGAAATTGGTTCTGACTAATAATCAGTTGACCACCCTTCCCAGAGGTATTGGTCACCTTACCAACCTGACGCACCTTGGGCTTGGAGAGAATCTTCTCACACACCTTCCTGAGGAAATTGGTAAGATCCCTTTTTCTGGTTTTATGCAGCGTGTCTGAGCCAAAGCAGTTACTGACACAGAAGATAGGCATCTACTGTGCTCATAAGTACAGGCCACAAAATTCATGTGAAACTTCTAGATATACACAACCTGATGTGAAGCATGTGCCACAGGAACAGCACTATAGGGTATGATCTTTATCTTGCTGAACTGTAGTGAAACAAATGGTCTAGCTTTTTTCAGTTCTTTTGCAGAAAGCGGCCGAACACACACTAACCTGGAATAGGGAGATTCCTTTTCTCTCCAAATTCTCCCACAAGTTGTGTATTATCAGTCACTCAACTTCATAAATCTATTCTTGGAGAGAGGTCTGTGTCAGAAAGGAGATGCACCGGTCCTACTGTAATTCCATGGTATAGACAAAACCTTGTGTAAGGTATAGACAGCTGAAGCAAATGTTTCTGCTGATAGTCCCTCTGCACACACTTCTGTTTGTAGACCACCGTATTATTTTTCACCTTGATGAGATAAGAAAAGGAAGTGGAGGAAATCTACAGAAGGAAAGGGAGGAATAGGATTCTTTTTGTCTACTTGAGACATCCAGAGTAAATGAGATTCAGAGCATCTGAAACTGAGAGCCCTCGTTTCTTTTATAGTCGGTCACAATACCTCCAGAGCATGATTCTGAGCACTTAAGTTAAAATCTTAAAATTAGGGCTCATCATGGAGGAAAAAATGATGGGAGAAGCTACACAAAGCAAAATGTGGTCAGAAACAGTGATGTTTCTGGGGAAGGCTGGGACATGGTCTCTCTCTTTAGTGAAGAGCTGTTACAGCTTCTGCTCATCTTGCATGTGCCTCGGTGTGAGAAGGGCCTAAAACAATCTAAATCTAGAGCTTTGTAATTTAGTTCGTAAGTTACTGGAAAGAGTTTAGATGCTGTGGAAACGAGCTGCGGAATTAAAGTATGTAAGTAAACTTGAAATACTGTTGTAGGAGTACAATTTGGTTATTAAAGATGGTTGTCTTAACAGATTAGAGAATAGTTAACTATTTTCAGATGTGACTGCTTCATCTAAAGTTATCAGCTATTTCCCATTATTTCTTAGCCTTTCCTTTTTGTTGGCTTTCCATGCCTTGAGCCCTGGCTACTGCTTTCTCTTGTGAAAAATGAAAGAGTCTTTTAGGTTATAGGAGATGTTTATGGTATGTAAGATTGGAAAATGCAGAATGTTTTGAGGAGGACTTGTATGTTTGGAGTGTATTTCAAAGATATGGATTAATTTTGATATTTGATTGCTGTGGAGGAATGGAGGTCTTAAGAAAGAAGAAATTAGTCTGTTTTCCATCTTCTGGTTAATCTGTATTGCAGTATCTGTAGTAGAGTCAGGTTGTAAAATTTGAATTCAGGAGGAATTTTTCACACAAGTTTGTTCAATTTAATAAATTCACTGCTGTGCAGAGATCTTTCCTGCTTTCTTCCTGTGGCACATTACAATTACAGCTTCATGTCTTTAATGTATGGGTTCTAATTAAATAAAAGGTATGGCATAGATATTTTTATAGAGATAATACATACTGTATGGTATAAATATTTTCTAGGCCCTTCTAACTAGATAGCTATTCAATGTTGCCTGCAAAGCACTTGGCTGAACAGTTACGGTGAAGTCCCTCTCAGCTCTCTTATTCTGTGTATTCTCAATTCACTTGTTATCTAAAAAAGATGTAGTAATGGATATTTTTACAGGGAAACTCAAGCAAATTGGTTCTTGCTTAGGTTCCAGTGCTTGAAAATAGGAGTTTAGATGAGTCACTGACTCTAGATTCTACATAGTAAAGAATCTTCAAGTGGACTTAGTGCTTCTGCCTAAAAGTTATAAACTGCATGAATCAAAAAAATACTATTTTGTATTGTTTTATTTTAACCAGGTACACTGGAGAATCTGGAAGAACTGTATTTGAATGACAACCCCAATCTACACAGCCTTCCCTTTGAGCTGGCTCTTTGCAGCAAACTGTCAATAATGAGTATTGAGAACTGCCCACTCAGCCACCTTCCACCTCAGATTGTTGCAGGAGGACCCTCCTTCATCATTCAGTTCCTAAAAATGCAGGGACCATATCGTGCCATGGTCTGATGCTAATCGGATTGTCCAATACACTGTACAAAATACAAACTGCATTAATGTTGTAATTGTCTGTATATGTATATATAATATAATATAT